TTTTCAACAACGCGTTCTCCGTTTCAGAGGCAGGACCTTCGATGTTCAGATGTTTGAAACAGTAGTGTAACGGGTAGAATGGTGGGCAGCGGCTGATTGTGCGACCAGTCTGGTAACAATATTTATATCTGCCTAATTATTTAGAACAAAGTAGGATTGTTTTGTTTTGGTTATTCTCTGCGGTCTTTTCGAGGGGCGTTTTCGATAGCATGCTATCGTGTAATCATGTTATTTTACCGCACGCTACGGTAGCTTTAGAAGGCCCCTCAAGGACTGCAGGGAGGGGGAGGGGGCGCATAACTTATTGGCGTGCAAATGAACACTTGATAAAAAAGAACTTTCGGGTACGAGCAAGTAGTAATGTCCAATTTTCCATGTTTTCTAACAGCCACCAGACTCTTACAACCTATTAGTCATACAGATAGTAGCCTCCTATCTAAGAATCCCGTAGGGAGTGTGAACCTGTATGCCTCATAGTCTCCAGCCAACTATATATGTAGTTAATAAACACTCAATTTGAAAGATTTCGCGAGGTTCACGGGTTACTTCCTTAATTTCACAAAAAATGACGCGAGGCGGCAAGAAAGAACTTACGGGGAGCCCAAGGGTGGCCTGCCAGTGCAACTCTTTCTTGGCAAGCGAGGCGTCGGCATACACAGTGGAAACGTCTCCAGGACGGCGACCTTCAACAGTGTATTTGATCGGTTTGCCAGACGCCGCTTTCATGGCCTCAATCAATTCCAGTACAGTGTAACCTTTTCCAGTTCCCAGATTGTAGGTCTAAAAAAAGCAAAATTAAGAAACTGGATGTAAAATAACACGGAAAAGGCAGAAACGACAACGGACGCACATGCCAACACGGTGCCCACGGGGAGCTGAATAAAATTAGTGATATCTGTATCTGTATCCCTAAGAAAAGCGGTGAAGGTCTCTGTTTGTGTCTCCGTTATCATTGGTGGATGGCAGCTATGTGTAAGTCGATCACGGAGCTTGGGCACACACACACACGCGTGCAAGCAGGGC